CTTCTGTGACTCCAGTTTCCATTCAGGGTATGGTGTTTTTGAATAATCGATTTTCTTTTTAATCTGGACAATAAATTCATGTTTCCAGGTGGTAGCATGGGGGTAGGGGCTGTAGGACAAAGATGAGCAAATTCTACTCTAAAAATATTTTATTAACTCAGCAGGTGTAAAGTGAAGTTTAACAACTTTCATGGAAATTCCAGATTGACATTTCAAGGGAAAAATGGGCCTTTTTTTCTGGTGGACTTGAACAAAGAAGGCTTAAATCAATAGGCAACTCATAACATTCCAAAGGTTAAAAATAACTGATGTAGGTGTGCTTCCTCAGTGTGATTCTTCAGATAAAACCTTTAGCACAGATTTACTGTCAGCAGAATATACTGTGATGTGCGTGTTGAGGGTAGGCTTCCTGATCCTTCCGTTTGCTCTCATTTCTGGCAACGCTTTATAATTCTGACTGAGAAGTGAATAACCGTGTTGAATGCAGTTTGTAATCTGGAAGCCTATGATCTCCCAGGGAAGGAGGGATAGATGCAGAGCTGTGCAGCCCCCGAAGGCATGAGACCCCAGTGTGTACAGCACAAATAGAACATAGGGGTACATCTACCTCATGAGGTGCCCCTTCCTTCTGCTCAAAATAACATTTACCTAAAAAGGGAGTGCGGTAAGAACACTTGGAACCTTTCACTAGTATGGGTTTGAGTTCATGGTCACTAAGTTCACCCAACTGCCTTTGTTAGAATCACTTTGAGTAGAATAATGCCAGAGGAGCGTATTTAGTCCCTAGCGATAACCTTTAGTGGCCTACTCGATATTTGCTAGCACGTGTTCCTAACCTTCACAGGGAAGCCAGGACCACTTTGGTGTGTGGCTTAAACAGTATAGCTGCTGCATGTGACGGGTATTATCAGGGGGTGGGTGAGTGTGGCATTTGGTGACAAAGCATTACCCAAGGGGCAGAGGCAGGTAGCCCCTCGTAGTCCTTTTTCCTATTCGGGAGATGGGAGCTTTCCTTCTCCTTTCTGGTTGGGAGCACTGACGCCCGTGAGGAGGCTTTGCCTTTTCTTGGTCAGCCAGCTCCCACTTTTGTCCTGTGCTTCCTCCTAAGACCTCCTCCTACCTAGCGCTGGTCCCGAAAGGAATAGTTACGTGGTGGGTTCACCCCCTCCTGCGCTGGCCATACACAGCCACGTGCGTGCGTGCTGTCCTCCATTTCCTGGTCCTCGATTTCAGGGTAGCCCATTCTCCTCTGGACTCCCTTACAAATAGAAAAGACCTACGTCTTTGGCCAGTAATGTCGGTTGCCCGCAGGCTGTGTATATGAGGCCTTTATGAATGGTTACTTTCTGCCTACTGTGAGGAAGCATTTGTGAGGCTCTACAGAGTGATTTTCGGAGAGACCGTCTTCGGGAGCATTTATTTCCATTGGAAGGTAAGACTTTACCCAAGGTGGAAATCAGCCTTGCTCAAGGACCCGCTTTGAGGTAGATAGTATAGATGTATTGGGGGTAATTTGACACTCCTGCTGGCAGTGGTTCTCCATTCAGCATTTTAAAACCCATTCATGTTATATCTTCCCAAAAAGATTTGATTTATGTGTTTACATGAAACAGTAAGTTGAATGAGATGGTCTGTTCGAAGGATTTCCGTGACAGCCTCTTTTCCTGAGATGGAGAGATTGGAGGTAATCCACCTGCTCAGTGTGGAATCAAACTGTGGGTTCTCGGTAGCTGAAGAAGCCATGTACTGTATAGTGTTTTTCTCAGAGCATCAGCTCACGTTCCTCAGATGCTTTTCTTTTTTTAATGGTGAGGGAAAAGGTGTAATTTGGGATTCCACAGTGCCTTGCATATAGTAGGCGCCCAATAAACATTTGTTGAAGCAAACCAAGTTTCCCAAGTCCTTGCCTCTTGCAGTGACCAAGAACATCTTTCTCCTCTGAAGGGCTTGGCAGTTGTGGCTAAAAAATAAACAGTATCATTATTTGCTTGAAATCATATATACAATTTGTATGAATTTCGGTATGTTGCCAAGACATGATCTTTTTCTTATTGTATTTTCTGTAAATATTCCTGGCACTGAACTGTAAAGTAAAGGCGAAATGTAAATACGAAGGTGTGCCTGTGTCCCCTCGCCTCCTGTGTTTTCTCTTCATCGGTTAGGGAAAAAGGCCCAGAGGCTTGTTTGTATTTATGCCGATCCTTTGTCCAGAAGAAACCCATGGAATATTGAATGTAATACATTTAGTCAATTAAATTTTAAGGAGATTCTTATCTAATAACATTGTGTGTGCTTTTGGTGACAGGCTGGGTTTTGATTCCTGCACTTGGTGTTTCTCATTTACTCTTTCCAGGGCTGTGTGCTCTGCTTTGCCTGACCTTCCTAATTTAGATCTGTGGGTTTTCACACTGGTTTTGTAGAGTTTCATGGAATACTGAAAGTTAGATTAATTTTTTAACAGAATTATAATTGACATGCAGCATTATATTAGTTTCAGGCTATAACATAGTGATTTGCTGTTTTTATACACGATTAATTGATTACTTCCATAGGTATAAGTTACTCTCTGTCACTGTGCAAAGTCATCACAGGGCTTGTGTAATGAAAACACTGCCAGCAGAAACCCGCCGTACAGAGGCTTGTGTTCACCGAGGGGCCGGCTGCCTGTATCTTAGGGACACAGAAAAGCAGCTTTACCTTCTGTCTGCCCCAAATCCGGGCTCTGCCAGGGCTAGCAGTCAGGAAAGGGGAGACGCAGAGGCAGTCATCCTCCCCCCACCTACTGCCCCGTAAGTAAGGTTGGCTTGAGAGGGTTCCACACAGCCTGATTAGCACCTTCCTACCAAGACCACACATGTGGGGAACCAAGGAAACAGCAATGAGAATGGTTAGGGTTCGTGCCTCTGCCAAGAGCTGTCCCTCCAGCCTATCACTGACTTGACAGGACATTAACAGGTGACTCTCTGAGCTGCCTTCCCTGTAATTGTGCGTCCACGCCTGCTCTGCCCACAGGACCTCTAGCCGGTCCTTGGTGGCCAGGGAAGCGTCAGGCTGATTGCACAGTGGTCCTGTTTCGGGCTCTGGTGAGAAAATGTCCGTTCAAGCCTTTCCCACCAGTGCTGCTCAGCCCCTTCGGGACTCTGTCAAAGGATCCCCACCCCTACCCCAGCCCAAACCTCTCCTGGTCATGGCCTCCGGGCTCGGAGTAGCACAGCCTGCCAAGGCGCTGTTCTTCTTGGACACACACTGTAATGCCGTCTTGCCCGGGCCGCCCCTCCTGAGGATTCCAGTCTCTGAGTCCCCGGGCTAAGACTCTAAGCACTGGCCCCCAAGCTCCGGCTCCCCGCTCTCCTCCTTCCGCCCCTTCCCTACTTTCCCTGTGGCTGGCCTCTTGCCTTTCTCCCTGAGCTGGTGTCCTGTAAGGGAGTCCTTCCACCCCAAGCCTCCCCCAGGTCTACCACCCAATTCTTGCAGCTGCTCTCCCAGCTGGAACTGCGTCTGCCTGACTTTCCGACCCATGCTCTGTGAGCTGCTGTGGCGCTGGAAACGGGGCTGGATCAGACCGGCTGCTCATTGGGCCTCAACTAGAGTTTCTGAGTAGAGCAGGGGGAAGTGTAGGAATTGGTGTGTTTCACAGACACTTGCCGGTAGTGACTGAGGTAGCTGGCGCAGGACCCTTGTGGGGACCGAGTGCTTCTCCCTCGCTCCGTTCCACAAGCAGCAGCCGTTCCACCTGTGAACTCCCCGCACCTGTCAGGCTCCCCGTCTGGCCAGCGTCTCCCTCCAGCTCTGGGATGGCTGGGCCCTGGAGGTCCTCCTTCCCGACACAGGGCCTGGCACATGGAGGTGTGCTTCTACATGAACGAACGAATGACAGGTGAGGTGGGAAGAGAAGACGGCATTTGAAGAGTATTCTCTCGACTTGGGAGACAAAGGAACAAGGCTAACTACTTAGAAGCCCGTCACTGAAAACTGTCCTAAGAAGAGCTGCCCAAGTTTCCAGAGTAAATAGTCCTTTATTGAGGGCCTCCTATGTGTTAGAAAGTTTGTAAATGGCAGCCCAGTGACCCAGGATGGCCCAGCAGATTTGTTTTCTTTTTTTTTTTTTTTTTTTTTTTTTTTTTTTTTTTTAAAGATTTTATTTATTTATTTATTTGACAGAGATCACAAGTAGGCAGAGAGGCAGGCAGAGAGAGAGGAGGAAGCAGGCTCCCTGCCGAGCAGAGAGCCCGATGCGGGCCTCGATCCCAGGACACTGAGACCATGACCCGAGCCGAAGGCAGAGGCTCAACCCACTGAGCCACCCAGGCGCCCCAGATTTGTTTTCTTGAGCTAACAGTGTTTCAGTGCTTGATGCAACATTTTTAAATTGGAAGATTTTGCACAAAAATGCAGATTTGTGGGGCTCTCTTAGGAAAGGATATGTGCCAGTACCAGGCCTGCCTTTCACACACAGTAGTTACTGCCTGAAGCTGCGACAGCTGCCTGCTTCGATGCACCAAACTCCGACCAGGTCGCCGCATCCTCCCCTCCCAGTGCCACCAAGTGCACATGTGGGCACCTGTAGCCAGAAGGACAGGCCCTGGGATCTGGCGGGCTCCTGAAGGAACCTGTGACCTCAAATTCTTGAATAGCCACCTGGGGTCGATGTTTGTCCCATCATTTATTCTTCTAGCAGCTTGCTGAAGTAAGGATTCTTTCCATCTTACAAGAGGATCCAAGGAGGTGTCCCATGAACCCATAGCATCTTAGCAGGGATTCCAACCCAGACCTGCCTGCCTGGAAGCCTGGGCGTTTTGTTCTTGGCCAAACTGTCTCCCTGCCAGTAGTTCCCACTCGCTTGTCCAAAACAGCTCTCCCTTTGCCTGAAAGACACTGACTTCTTGTTAGGTCACCCGCTCAGTCACAATTGAGCTGAGAGCAGAGTGTGGGCCGGCCCACTGGGTCCCCAGGGCAGCCCTGCCAGCCCAGCCCAGGCAGCCGTGGCTTAGCCACACACCATGAAGTACCCTCTGGTGCCGCTGGTGAACGACCTCACGTTTTCTTTCCTGGTGTTCTGGCTCTGCCTGCCCGTGAGCTTGCTGTTGGTCCTGCTGATCGTCTGGCTCCGCTTCTTACTGAGCCAAGGTGAGCTTCCTGGGCTGGGCCCTAATCCTGGAGCTGAGCTGGGGGTCCCGAAGCTGGGCAGGCGAGTAGGATCAAAGGATTCATTGAGTAGTTTAGAGGCCAAGAGTGAGCCCCCGAGTTTGGGAAGCGGTGTGTGTGTGTGTGTGTGTGCGCGCGCACACCTGTGTCCCCTCCCAGCCACTGCTAGCACAGAAGGTCTTCGGCACAAATCAGGTCCGAAAAAGAGGTGGCCCCTGCCCCCAGATGAATTAGTAAAAGGGGCCCTTTGCTGTGACTAGCCAGGGCACAAGACGGGGGCAACAAGGCATGCACTGGACTTGAGCCCCTCCCAGTGCTTCCATGCAGTAAATAACAGACGCGATGGGATATGGCAGCGCCAGGCAAGAGACCCCTCACGCTGCTTTCTGCCTGGACTATGCATCAGGGAGGCAGCTGGGTTCTCGGGGTCGCTAGATCATGGAGGCTGATGGACGCTTGTCCCAAGCTCGGCATGCCCCCCAGAGCGACAGGAGGCAGGATGAAGCTGGCCAGAAGGGAAGCTTGGGGCTAGTGGCAGGGATGGCCTTCGGCTCCACAGGTGTCCTATTCCCCTGGGCGCTCCCCTCACCATGGAGCCTCTTCCTGGGGACCGTTTGATCTCCCACCTCCTGCTCTGCAGTTCCAAGACCTTTGGTCAGCGAGGCAGGGAGGGTGCTGATGCGCCGCCAGCCTGGTCCGATGGCACTGAGATGGGGTAAGCGGTTCATCCCCAGAGCTGCCCCACGTCCTCCAGTGTGGGGGCTGCTGATGGTGTCATTACTGGGAGTTCCTGGCGAGAGCTTCTGGAAAATGTCTGTTTAGAGTACATTCTCATATTCCCGGGGTGGACTGCCGCCTTCCCTGAGGGGCGCAACTCAGGCTCAGGGCTGGTGGCTGGTGGTGGACAGAGCACATGTCCGTGCAGTGGCTGCAAAAGCCGTCTCTCTGGAGTCTAGGACAGGGCCCACATTTGAGCCTTGGCCCTTCATCATTCGGAATAACTGCTAACCTTTCTTGCATACCGTACTAAAGGGTGTGCTAAACACTGATGTGCATCATCTCATTTAATCCTCGAAATAACCTGCGAAGTAATCCTTATCGGACAACTGAGGAAACTGAGGCTCAGGGAGAGGAGCCACGTTCCCAGATCACACACCCATGAAGTACTTGAGAGTGCCAGTTATCTGGTGTCACCTCCTGGCTCTGCCTCCCAGCAGCTCTGTGACTTTGGGCAAGTCCTCTCTGAGCTTCGGGTTTCTCATCTATAGGATGGAGAGAATATCGGTCCCTACCCTTTGGGGCTGTGGAGAGATGCGTGTGAAGGGCAGGGCGTTGAGGACATGTACATGTGTGGCACATAGTGGGTGCTTATAGGCTGAGAAATAATCCATTTCAATGACGGTGTAGATGAGGTGGGAGGAAGCATAGGCGTGTCTTAGGATGGCTTCTCCAGAAGCCAGGAGCACCTCCCCCAAAGTCTAAGGCACTAATCTCCAGCAGTTCATGCTCCTTGAATGCCCCCCTCTAAAACCGTCTGCAGCCTGCCCTGTCCTGACCTTGTCTCAAACTTCCTCCCACACCGCACATGGCCCTTTGCAAAAAGGCATTTGGAAATTTGCAATGACCAGAAACTGTCCTTAAAGCGAGATAAGCAGTCTCCTCTCAGGGGCCCATCTGCTCAGAACTCTTAATATTGTTGCCCTGGTCATGTCCTTGTGCCAGGGTCTGGGCCTGCCAGGGTTTGGGGGAGCTGCTTCTCAGGGACACCTGGGCTGGCAGTTTTCTCTTCTGCTGTTGATCTCACTGGAATCAGTTTGGCCTGGAATCAGGTGTGAAAAGCAGGCAGGACTAGCTCTGACCCCCCTGCTCAGCAGGGCCGTTCCAGGGCCCAGAAGGCAGCCGGTTTGGGCAGGGAGTGCCATGGGGCCCAGGAGGACACGGTTTCTCAAGTAGATGGGGGAGCAAGGGGAGGAGAAGGGAGCTGCCCGGCAAGCTTGGCACCGAGGCAAGAAAAGATCGTGGGCAGCTGAGCCCTGGAGAAGCTGGCCAGTGGGGACTACTAATTCCGGACCATGACAGGAGAGAGTATGCAGCCCCGTGTGCCCTTCAAGGGGAAGGTGCTCCCCTGAGGACATTTCCTTTGTGATCGGAAAGGAATTTGCAGCAAGAAGAAGAGAAACCTCCGAAGAGATGGATTTAGGGCTGAAACATGCCTGTCCCGCCCACCTCGGGGTGATCCTGGGAGCGAGGGGTTAAATGCAAAGCTCCCTTTGAATCCCCTGACTTCAAACTGGTGCAGCCGATGGAACATGGAATGGAACATGGAACTGCAGGGCCCTGGTGCTGGGAGGCCCATTGGAGTCCAGCCCCACCGCTTCCTGGCTGGGAGCCTGGACGTTCCGCCTTCCCGAGCCTTCCTCACCGGCAAATTGCAACAAACATTAGTAATTCCTTCAAGACGTTGTCGACAGGATTAAATGAGAAAATGCACGTGCCATACTTAGCACTTAGCATGTGTTCAAGAAACAATCACGACCTGTAGTGAAGAGTGGACCCTTCAAGCCCTCACACTGGTTTGTAAATCCTCATCACTCCCTCTTCATAGGGCTGTAATGTGCCCATTCTACAGATGAGGAAATGATGCCCGCCTCTCCTGTCTCCTGCTCTTGGTCTGCAAGCGGAGGGCTCTCTTCAGTCTTCATTACTTCTCTGCCATCAGTGAGACTCCTTAGGAGTATAGTAAGGAGGAGGATTCCCCTCTCCCTTCTCCCTCCTCCTCCACCTTGCCTTCCCCGATAAGTCACGGCCGGCAAGCTCACACACCTATCTAACAACACATGCAGGTTTTCCAAAAAAGCATGGGCAGATTGTTACTTGTTTTTCAGTAAAAAGGGGAGGAGATCCTAACCTATACATTTCTCTGAAACTTGCTTGTGATGTATCATGGACATCCTGCAAGTCAAAGGCTACAGGTCTCATGGTTGTTTTAACAGTTTCTAACATGGCACTGGATGGAGGGGTGGCTCTGTGCAGTGCGACTGTGCCACCCTCCGTCACCCAGACCCCTCATGATGGACACACACACACACACACACACACACACACACATGCACGGAGTTTCTATCATATTTTATTGTTTGTGCGTGCTTCACCACAAAGCAGTGCTACAGGGAAATGTTGCACATACATGCTCAGACACTTGTTAATAAGTGGACCGGTGGACGAATGGATGGATGGGCCAGTCGCTGGGTGTGTGTCTCCCCAGTGCCCGCTCTTGGACCATTCCGAATACAAATATGTTGTTTGTTTGCCTCGATGGCCTGTCCCTATTTAGTAGGTGTGTGTGGCCACTTTCTGAGTCCTAGGACAACCTTTGTTGGTCCCGGTCACCTTCAAGGTCCTCAGGTCTTCCTGAGATCTCAGGGCTGTCCCATATGTCATGATTCTGCCTTGGCCCCTTGGTCTCAGATAAGGTTACCAGGGATGCCCAGGCATGGCAGGGGTCTCCCTTGAGGTCAGGGGTAGGAGACAGGATGTGACCACCCAAGATGCCTTATCTTGTACCTCCACAGATTCAGAGGAAAATGACTCAGATATATGCTTTGACTGGGAGCCCTGGAGCAAAGCCCCAGCCCAATTTTGCTGGGAGGGGACACTCCATAGCTAAAAGGAGGAGAGGCCCTGCCTGTGAGCCTTCTATTCAGCCAGGTGAGACCCTTCTGGGAGTTGGGGCAGGGGGGCAGGAAAGAGGAGCCTCAGGTCCTACCCAAGGCCTGGGTGGCTGCCATGTTGGATATCCACTCCCTCCACCATAGGACAAGAGCTGCTTGTCTTTGCCATGTTGGAGAACCCTCTGCTTCATTCTTTTGGAGACATGTTTTCACCATGTTGGAGGACCAGACTTCTCTGCCATGAAGAGTGCCTTCACAAAGTTTCCCTACCCTTTACCTCCATGACCTCACCTCCCACTGCTCTCCTTACAGAGGGTCTTTGCCCTTGTTGCTTCCTCTGCCTGGAATTCTTCTCCCCCACATCCACTCGGTGTACTCCCTCACCTCTGAGATTGAGCTCAAATGTCCCCCTTACTCTGCTCTAGATTGTCTTTTGCCATAGCATTACCACCTCCTGACGTGCCCGATAACTGATGCTCCAAATCCAAAGCCCTCCCAGCACTCCTGACACACAGCCCTTTGGAGGAGGAATGACATGATCCAGTGATGCAGCTCGCTGATAGTCACTGGACACTTACAAGGCACCAGGGCCTGTGCCGAGCACTTCCCTTTCACAAGCTTGTCTATGAGATCTTACGAAGAGGGTATCATTCTTACCTCCACTTTGCAAATGAGAACCTGAGTGGCAGAGCAGTAAGTAATTTGCCTGGAGTAACGGGGCCCTGGCACCCACTGAACACCTGGAAAGGCCTCAGCCACTCCAGAGGAGTGGAATGTCAGCCCTGTGCCAATGACCCCGATGCTCTAATCGTCCTTCTCAGCTCTGTTATCTCCTTGACATCTTTTCATGGCTGGAAGGGGAGTCTTGATTCCCTTGGGTACCCAACAAAGCAAAACACCGTCCCTGAACTTCTGCAAGCTTTCTCCATCTCCACGAATAGCATCTCCATTGGTCGGTCTCATTGCTTGAGCCATAAACGCAAGAGTCAGTCTTCGTGCCTTTTTTCCCTCCCAGCCCACATCCAGTCCATCAGCAAGTCCTCAACTCTATCCCTCATGTGCCCAATTCCCTCTGTCCCCACGGCCACCCCAGCCTGATCTATTCCAAGTCTGCTGATGCAACGTGTTCCCAACCCCCTCTGCTCCCTGTGGGTCACAGTGTGGAGCCCCTGCCTGTGTGGGGTGAGAAGCAAGGGCCCTCACTTAACCTCAGTTACACTGATTCTTAACCTTTCTGGGCCATGACTTTGACAGCCGAGGGTGCTTTCCCTGGAAAAACACACGCGAGTGCTTGCACTCAGAGCACGGTGTTCAGGCCCAGCTTCACGGTGGTAACCTGTGCGGTCCCATGAGGTCCCATGTTCCGAAAAGCCCCGTGCTTGCCTTAATGATCTGCTGTCTCTCGTCTTAAAATTTTTAATTTTTGAATGAGGGGCCCTGTACATTCATTTTTTCAATGGGCCCACAAATTACGTAACCTGCCCTGTTTGTGTACAGTTAGTGGGGTTAAGGAAAGGAGACTTTTGGACTCTGCTCCAGAACCCTGTCCCATTCATATAGAGCCCTTACCGCCCCATCATGTATCTGTTCCTCTCTCACTCTTTCATTCCATCGTCATCTCTAGACTCAACCTTCCATGCTTTTCCAGCCTGGCTTTCCTGGAGTCAGCGGAGCAGTGGCAGTAACCGAGCTGGATGGGAGAGACTCCCAGTCACCAATGAGGGAAGAGGACTCTGGCAAATGTGGTGCTTCCCGGGGGTCCTCCGACTCCACTCCTCCACCGACGGACTCGGGAAAGCCTCCAGAGGACCCAGCTCTTCTCTCACTACAGATGACCTCCCAGGGTCCCTGGGGAGGAGCCTGAGCCTGTGAAGATGGGATAGATAAACAGGCATGCAGGGAAAAGTTGGCCATCTGAACTCAGAGGAGGTCCTAGGATAGGGCTGGGCCAAAAGGTGTGGGTCCATATTAAAGAAACAAGGAGTTTCCTGTGCTCAGGAGACCCCTGACAAGTCCACTGGGCCTGGCCAGATCCATTCATTTAATAAGCCGTCGGGTCTGGGCCCAACCTCTGGCACTGACTCCACATGTCCTTGACCATCTTTGGGAATGCCTGACTTTCTCCCATCCTTTCAAAGGGTTGGGGGATTCTTGCTCCCAGCTCCCATTCTATAATTTCACACTCCTTGATTCGCCTTTAGGTTGACTTTAATAACAAATACTCATTTTGTAAATACAGAGCAGCTACCATATGCTAGTATAAAATTAACTCACCTTTCATGAGCACCCACTGTATACCAGGCACTTTTCCATGGGCTTTATACAGGGGTTTTAACCCTCACAAGAATTCTATGAGGTAGGGTCTTTGGTGATCCCTGTTTCACAGAAGGGGAAAATGAGGCACAGAATGACCTCATTTTGTGGCTTGGAGCCACGCCGATGGAGTTGGGCTTTGAGCCAAGACCCTGACTCCACTGTGCCAGGTCTCACCCAGTGTGGGATGTGGGGGTGGTACAGGCAAGGAAGTGTTCTCTCCTTTGCAGAAATCCCGTCCTTATGTCCTCACTAGCTTCACAGGGGCAGCAGAGTTGATGGCAGGAGAAGGGGACAGGCCCTCCTGGTGTCCCCTCCTCTGCCACCTCAGATCCTACCATTCAGGAGTATGAATTATTAGCTTGTCTGGAGTTTGGTCTCCCCGGCTCTGCTTTTTCTGCCCTGTCAGACGGTCCATCCAATGCACAAAGTAGAACATGTCTTTCCCCCTGCTTCAAGCCCTCTATGGCTCCCTATTGTCCTAGGGCTAAAGTCTTGAGTTCCTTGTGTGGTACAGAGGGCTGCCCTTTGGGAGCTGAGCCCCACTAAATTTGCAGGACAAGGTTTCTGTTCCTAACGACAATGGGAACATCCTTGAACTTTTATCTTGGTATACAAGTGCGCTTCTATCTAGAGGATAAATTCTGGGAGAAGTTGTTGAATTTGAGACCTATGCATTTACATTTTGCAGATGTTGCTAAGTTGCCCCACTATATGGTAACTCCGAGGGTGTACATTACGTGCCTGTTCCCCCAGGCCTTTCCCCTACTGTACAGGTATCATCACACACACATATTCTCCCCCATCCCTTCACCCCACCCCACCTCTCCCTCCACACATGCCTTGTTCTAGCTGATGAGATTTTGGCAACCTGTGTTTTCCTGGGAGCTTTCCTGGCATTGAAATAAACACTTTTGGTAACATACATCCCCTGTGGCTAGAGCTTCTCTCAGGATTTGTCTGGCATTTTCTCCAGCTTCCCTGCTCCGTAGAGTCCCATGCACTGCTTGGTCGCCTCTGTCCCCTTTGCTGAGAGGGAACATGCTGCGGGTCAGCCTCTGTGCTGACCTAGAAAAGCCAGATGAGCCATCAAGCCCCACCCTCCTGCCCCCTGTCACTCTGGAGGAGCCAGAGAAGCCTCCTGGGGTGGGGGCTCAGACCTTGAGGGAGAGTGGGCACTGCCTGGCTCTGCAGGGAGGACCTCTGGCCATGAACCTGGGAGCACCTGCTGCAGAAGGCAGGGGACACAGCTCCTTGGGACTCCTGGCAGGTAAACAGCACTGGATGGTAGTTGGTGGGGGCTGTGGGAAGAAGCCCTCCCAGCTCTGGGTGGAAGGCTGAAATCCCGGGTCTCTGAGGGGTATGGATTGAGGTTTCCTTTTCAACATTTTGTTCTATAAGGCAGATTGTGTGTGTGTGTGTGTGTGTGTGTGAAACACAGCCTGTGAGCCTCTAGTGATAGGCTCTCCAAGAGACATCATCCCCCATTACAGCAGCCGTGGCTGAATGCCTGCTGCTCTGTGCCTACCCCAGGGCTATCCACTCCCCGTGAGTTGTCTTATTTGACCCTCCCAACAACCCTGTGAGGTGGGTCTTAATTTCATTTTCCGATGAGGAAACTGAGGGTCAGAGAGGTTAAGTAACTCCCCCAAAGTCGCACAGCCTGGAAACGGCCTGCTTTCCTGACTGTAACTGAGAGGTATATCTGAAGATCCCCAGGGATATCCTTCGCTCTTCCTAGCCCGGACGATGCAACTGAAGGTTGTACCATTGATGTTTGTAAGACACACGAGTAAACTCAGGACAGTAAGTGGATGTGGCTCTCTCTTTGGACCTCTTGTCATGACACATTTCCCAGGCATGCCCATATTTTCCACCTCTAACCGGAAGCTCTGGGACCTTCCCTCTCCCCCTCTCCAGGACCCTCAGTGTCGTCTTTGGCAACTTGAGGCCAATCCTCTATGTACTCCTTTCATGAGGCGACCACCACAGAGCAGCACAAACTGGGTGGCCTAGAACAACAGAAATGGATTGTTCCACAGGCTGGAGGCCAGGAGTCCAGAAGGCGCTGGCAGGACGTGCTCCCTCTGAACCTGCGGAAAGGATCCAGCTTCTAACAGCTCCAGATGTTCCTTGGCTTCTGGCTGTATCCCTCCAGCCCCTGCCTCCCTCTTCACATGGCCTTCTTCCTGTGGGTCTTTGCGCCGTCTCCCTCTGTGTGTGTCTGTCTCTATGTTCAAATTGCCCCTTTCTATAAGGACAGCTCATTGGTGAGGGCCCACCCTAATGACTGCATTGATTACCTCTGTTGAGACCCTATTTCCAGAAGAAGGTCCTATTCTGAGGTCCTGGAGGTTATTAGGACTTGCATGTGTATTTTTAGCAGGACACAATAATCCCTACCTCCCTCTTCTTCAAGGACTCCGTGTGGTCGTGCATGGAAAGCTCTGAGCACAGGGCTGGGCTCACACTTTGTAAATGCTCCATAAACTGCCACCAAGAGACCAAAGTTGAGCACCCGGAAATAAGGTGTTGGGTGTACATCCTGTGCCAGGCACAGTTTGGACCCTTGACATGTATTATCCCACTGAATCCTCATGGCCACCCCTCAAGACAGGCAAGATTTTCATCGAAATGACACAGAAGCTGTGACTCCGAGAAGTTAAGGCACTTGCCTGAAGCC